TTACAATTATTGTAGGTATTATTCCCACAGAAAATAAGAAGGACCTGAGAACTAGTTAAACATAACATTCTTCCAAGACAAGGTAATTCTTTAGTTTTATGTGGAAAATGCAGACCAGCAAACATAATTTTAGAGGGTTTCCAAAATATATTTCCTGTGACTCCAGTGCCACTACTCAAAGGCAAAATGTATTTCCATATTTCTTCTCCAGAAAACCTATCCTACTTTTATAAGATTTTTCTTCTTTCCCCTTTTCCATCCCACCTACTATAATCTATCTAAGTTCTTCAGTTCAAAGCTAGAAACATCATTATTATACAAATTTGGGGGCACCAATCTATATAAAGCTGGAATAAAATACAAATATAATTTAAACAAATGCATACATGAGTTTGAATCATAAGTTTCTTTTGGCTATTAGTTGTTGTCACTGTTATTCCGATAGTTTCTCCTTCCTCTACATCAGCAGTTCTCAACCTGTGGGTCACAACCCCTTTGTAACAAGGAAAATACATCGCAGCATTAGGAAGGTTGAGAACCACTGCTCCACGTTCTCTTTTAAAATTGTGAATGTTCATGTCTATCCTTCTTCCACCTCAGACTTAGGTGGAAATCTTTCACCTACTCTAGATCTGTAGTAAAACAATACCCATTTCCTTTCCCCTGTGCCCCCTACTCTGAGACTCTGCTATAAATCAGAATCATTTCCCTCAGCAATTTGACAAGTGCCAATCCACCCCAGTTCTGCTTTCAATGCTTGTCTGATGAGTCTGGAATCAGGCATTTGGACAAGTTCTTTTTAGCGTAGTCATCCATCCTGGCTTTTGTTGCTACCATCTTTGTTCCTTCTGTTGCTATTATGGTGCTTTAGACTTTGCTATTACACTTCCCAACTCTCTCAAATTAACCCAGTCTCATTTCTCTCCACTTATTACTAACCCACCTTCACTAGAAACGTCTTATAACTTATAAACTGGAGGCTCCTTCCCCCGTGCAGTGGTCATCACACCCTCTTCTACTACTTGAAGACACAGCATCAAGTTAAACACTATTGACTCTGAAAAGTTTTTCATCTACTTCCTTAAAATATTTTAAAATTATTAGATTTCACATTTTGTCATGCGCATCTTTTTCAACCCTAGCCCTACTTTATGTTTGTCCTACCCAGTGGCTTTTGGAGAGAAATTTTTTTGCCATCACACCAAATCTAGTAAATCACTGCATGTATATAACCACTAGATTTTAACCAGAGATGGTGAGGACCATCATCACTCTGGAAAGTGTTTTGAAAGGACCTCTCTGGGGAACAAGTAACCCATCACGGCTCTCTCTAGGGAAAGGTAAAAGATCCCAGCATATACTGCAGATCTGAAAGCAGACTGCATTAGAGACTTAAACGACTTATTCAGGCTTTTTTTTTCCTTTTTCATTTCTTTATTTTTTTTTAGTTTTTAGTAATTCCAAAAACAAGAAAATATGCAGACTTTTTAAAAGTAGTATACCTAGAGAAACTTACACAGGCCAAATATGGTGATTTGGGTTTTTTTTATTTTACAGTCAATCATCAAAAATTATCAACATACTACAACTAAATCTAAAAGTTCTTTCTACATAAAAAATACTGTCAACAAGTCTGAAGGTACATAAATATGGTGACTTGCCAAAGGCAGAGAGGAATTAAAGACAGACATGTTACTATAGTAGTTACTGTCTTGGCTTTATATTTTAAAAGGTGTAACAGGCTCAGCGCCTATAGCTCAACCAGCTAAGGCACCAGCCAC